AACCCCCCAAGAATCAGAAATATCACAGGTTTTTCGATCGACTATGTTAACATGAACGACGCCATTTTGACAAGATTTGTTTAGCAATGTCATCATGTTAGCACGCGAAGTTTTTTCCCTATTAAAATGAGAAAATGAACATAATTCCCAATATTAATCTTTGAATTGCAGGAACTGGATGTTTATGAGTTGGTAGGCAGGTTGTGATGCGTATCAGGGTTCAAAAAACCCAAATTTCTTAGTGATAATTTTGTTTACATGTTTGTTTACATTGTGGTTGCCCGAATTTGAAGTCAAAGTGAAGTCATACAATGAGGTATCCCTTTGCATGACGGTAACTTTTGAAGGTATTGTAATCTGTCTGACTTCCTGACTCCCTCCGCCCGCGTGTGAATGGTTTGTTTACCCGCACTGCGGTTCGAGACAAAAGAACGCTAGTCGTTTCCAGACTGGGGATAGAGGGACTGTGGGTAGACTGAATGAAAACCCTGGAGGACTTGAAAGATGCAGTGTGGAGTCATTTTTTTTTTCTTTTATGATTTTTCTGTTTACATTTTTTAATAATATGCAAGGTCACTGTGACTTCTACCACTGTTCCACGTGTTAAAGATTTGATTCACTAAGGTCACTGCGACTTCTACCACTGTTCCACGTGTCACAATCTGATTCACTAAAGTCAGTGTGACTTTACCACTGTTCCACGTGTTACGATTTGATTCACTAAAGTCACTGTGACTTCAACCACTGTTCCACGTGTTACAATTTGATTCACTAAAGTCACTGTGTCTTCTACCACTGTTCCACATGTTACGATTTGATTCACCAAAGTCACTGTGACTTCTACCATTGTTCCACGTGTTACGATTTGATTCACTAAAGTCACTGTGACTTCTACCACTGTTCCATGTGTTACAATTTGATTCACTAAAGTTACTGTGACTTCTACCACTGTTCCACGTGTCACGATTTGATTCACCAAAGTCACTGTGACTTCTACCACCGTTCCATGTGTTATAATTTGATTCACTAAATAAAGTCACTGTGACTTCTACCACTGTTCCACGTGTTACAATTTGATTCACTAAAGTCACTGTGACTTCTACCACTGTTCCACGTGTTACAATTTGATTCGCCTAAAGTCACTGTGACTTCTACCACCGTTCCACGTGTCACGATTTGATTCACTAAAGTCACTGTGACTTCTACCACTGTTCCACGTGTTACAATTTGATTCGCTAAAGTCACTGTGACTTCTACCACCGTTCCATGTGTTACAATTTGATTCACTAAAGTCACTGTGACTTCTACCACCGTTCCATGTGTTACAATTTGATTCACTAAAGTCACTGTGACTTCTACCACTGTTCCACGTGTCAC